CACTGGCATCTTACCTCCAGACTTCCTGAACTTGGCTGGCTTCCCTTCATTTTTTTTCAGATTCAAGTTGCATTTCTACCACCTTCAAAGTAAAGACTTATGTCAGAATCACCTGAGTCTGGCCACAAATGCAGATGTCAGTATCCCCGAGGCCACCAGCCATGAGCCACGAACATACATGCTTAATCAGTCCCAGGAGATTGTTGGAGATACTGAAATTAACTCGCCACCATCTTTAACAACAAACCCTCAAGAGCAAAGTCCTACCGTCATTTGTTTCCATATCTCCAACATCCAACTGGATACCTAGCCAAGAATGGGTACCCAGCTGAAGAACATGCTGATGCAAACTCACAAGCTTTTCTTTTCAATGGGTCTTTTAAAAAAAAAATAAATAAAGAGCAAGGGCTGTGTTAAGTAGGGAACTGTTTACTCCAGCCCACTTTCTGCAAAATAATGCCCCCAATTTCCCTGGAGCCCCTTCTGAGACAGACCTGCCAAGTGGCCAATTTCCAAGACCAGAAAGATCATCCCAATGCTACCAGAAATGGTGCCTCCTGGAACTGGGGGAATACCATCTGCCCTTCCTTCTGGGGCAGCTACATCACCCAGTGTTAGAAGAAGGTGGCCTCTTCCTGATATCAAAGGTTTCCTTTTGGAATGTTTAAACCAGAGCTTTTAACCTTTACAGCAGAATCATCAGAAATGAACATTGTTGAGTGAATTTCCATCCTGAGATAAGTACTTGTGGGGTATGATTTGGGGCACCGGTTGTCCAAACAGCATCCTCATCCTATGACAATTTTGATGCTGAGGACCCCTGCCCCATTTGTGCAGAAATTCCTATTTAAACATAGTCCTCAAAGAATTCCCTAAACTTCCTCTTCCTAAAAAGGGGGAGAATGCTCTGATTTGGGGGTGGAAGAATTGATGGAGGAGGGGGCAGCGAATTGGGGGGTAGGAAAGTGTCTGCTTCTCAAATGCTCAACCCATTCATTGCAACAAGTATACTCAGAAAATGAGATCCTCTAAAAGCTTAAAGACCCTTTTGCAAATTGAGGAAGAAGCAGGGGAAATTCACATTTCTTAGCATTCTTAGGAAAAGAAGACTAAGAGCTAAGTGTTCCCTATTCTCTTACCAACCCTCCACAGCCTACCTAGACCCCACTGCTTACTCCCAGACAGAATTAATTGCTTCCCTGCTGCTCCCCAGAGCACTTAGTCCCTTTCCTGGATTAGAGCACTTAACTGGCATTAAATCTAATTGTTATAGGTCTTTTCCTCAGACTTTGCTCTGGAAGGCTGATTGGTAGTTTCTTTATCTGTGTGCCACAGAGGACTGGTCTGGAAGTGCTTTTCAAACACAGCTTCTAGGTGGGTAGACTGCCAATAGCACCATCCATCCTGGTCCCTGGGATATGCTTCTTTGAGAACTAAACCTAGGGGTTAACCTGGCAGGCTGGCTTGATCATTTTTATAGTATTGCTTCTCTTGAACTCATTTTCCAGAATGATGTACCTCAAACAAACCTGTGTGCATAAACTACAGAGACAAATCATTTCCCTAAAAGGCATTAATCTGGGCCTCCCCGGTGGCGCAGCGGTTGAGCGCTGGGTTGCGAAGCTGCCTGAGGCCTCTGCGGCGACGGTTCGATCCCCGGCTGCTCCCCGGCCACCGGAGGAGGATCCCACATGGTGCGCAGACCTCTCCTGCCGCCCGCTGCTCCCCTCAGCAGTGTACTTTGGTCCTTCTGCCTGCTCTGCTCCCCGCTCTGGCTCTGGTGAATTCTCTCACCCTCCCGCGCTTCTGACTGTACCCAGTGCATGTATAAACAAAACAAACAAACAAATATAATAAATAAAAATAAAAACATGCCTCTATAAAAATAAATAAATAAAAAAATAAAAGGCATTAATCTGTGTTGTTTTGCAGGTATGGAGATACACACACATTTATATACACACAGAGACATTCATGTATATAATCTAAATTATATAACAATAATTATAATTATATAATCTTATTGTATGTTTTCTTCTTGTGGAGTTTCCTGTTCTATGACTTCCAGCATTAAATGCCATCAAAGTGAAGTGTTCTTCCAGCATTAGTTCTGATCTTGAAAAAACTACTGTGTGTTTTGCTTGGAACACAGCAATGCATCTCAGAAGCTGCTTTTTACATTAAGGTAATCCAAACCCTGCTACACTCTGACTTTATGATGTTTGAACATGGGTTGTTGTGTTTTTTTATCCCCAGAAGGTTTAAGTCATCTTTTTCTGGTTTCTTGAGCCCCTCATTGCTTCCAGCAGCCCCCCATCTCCAATCCATCCCCTACTCTGCACTGACAGAGATCTTCCTCAACACCCAGACTTACTAGTCACTCCTCTCCCTTAAGAAAGAAGGCCAACCTCCACCTTGCTGCCTTTTCATTGGTTCCCAGAGCTCCTTTCAGCAAAACGCCCTTTTAATTCTATCCAGACTCTACTACCTGCTGCTGAGAATAAGCCTTCACTCACGCTTGGCTTCTGCTGTTTCCTCTGTCCAGAACGTCATTGTAGGGTAAATAATAAGTGATTTTCAGGCTTTTCTGCCCTCCCGCCATTAGGATTGATGATGGATCCCTGCGGTTCTGAATGCATGCCTGATGGCGGGCACCTGGAGTAGGGTGCGGGCACAGGTAGATGGGATTCACCTGGGCTAAGACTGGGCTTATAAGGATGGCGTCACGGGGACACCAGCAGAAGAACCATGAGGAGAGAGAAATAGCGAAAAAGAACAAGACCACCAGACAACGCCAGAGAGCCCAGAAAGAATGAAGACTTGCTGGGGGCTGGGAGGCTTCCCAGCCCCCTGGTGTCCCTTGCCAGCCATGTACCTGGCAAATCCCAGTAAAAGCCTGAAAAGCCACTGAGGGCTCCAGGACTTTTCCTTTACCCAGTTTGCTGGATCAGAAAACCTGCTCAGTGGCCTTCCTGCCATTATAGTCATCTTCCCCAACTTGGCCTCTTAAAACCCCATCCATCCCTCAAAACCACCAGCGGGTCAGCTGCAGATCTGTAACTGGGATCATCCTCTGCTCTACCATTTGCCTGCTGTGTGACCACAGGCAAGGCACACAACCATTCTCATCCTCAACTTGCTCATTTTCAACAAAACAAGTGTTCAAAAAATGAATGAAAGAGCAGAAAATAAAATCCCCAGACAATAATTTTCAGCCCCCATGCAATCCTCTGAACCTTTATTTTTTTCCCCCTTCTCATACAGAGAGGAGAGAGCTCACACTGAGCATTATGGGAGCAGACAGTCATATTTATTATCATACCCAGCAGACTAGGAGAACTTGGAGGTCAAGAAGCCTCATTTCAGACATGCCTCCCACACAGTCGCTACGCAACGGATATTGGATGACGAGTTAATTTATTCCCTTTCATTCACAGCCAGATCCACATAATTCACTGGCCAGTTGCTCGTGAGAGGTGGTGTCAACGTCAATGAACTCAGAAGTCAGACAGATCTAACCTTGAACCTTAACTGTATGACCTTAAGCAAGAAATTTTTTATATCGTAATCTGGAAAGTGAGGATAATAGCCCTACTTCATAGGGTTACTCAGACGCTTAAGCACACTAATGTGGGTGAAGTGACAGCCACATTATTATTAGGATGTTATCAACTGCTGGTTTGGGGCATCCCAGCCTCAACAAAATCGGGCCAGGTGAACATCTGAGCTCAGTGGTTTTCAAAGTCTTGCACATCATGACCCAACCGTCCCACCCACCAGGCCCTTGCTGTGGCTTTTGAGGCAATTTTAGTTTTGTGGACCAAAATCTGTGGTTCATTTTTATGGAGGAAGCTCCATAATAATAATAATAATAATAATAATAATAATAAAATTTATTATTACTACTATTATTTTTAAAAATGAATTAAATTTTATGACTGTATTAGTACAAAGACAAATATAATCCAGGCTGGGTTCTCTACTATATATTCACTATTAACGTTTTCATTTCCTCCTCCTGATTTTAAAAGAAATTAGAATGAAAACATTTTTATGGGCTCCTAAAGTCACGGTGGGCCCCAGGCATTGCGCCTCCTGGGCCGCACAGGGGACAGGGAAGTCAGTCCTACCTGAAGTCTCAGAAGTCTGATGCCTCAGTCTCAGCCGCAGCAGGCCTGGCTCCTCTTCACACCCTTCGGGGTGGGAGGGTGGGGGGCTCTGCACTCCACCAAGACTTTGCAAACCCGCCTTTCCCGGCCCCCCTTCTTCTGCGCCTTCGTCTGACTGACTTTCCACACGAAGCCCAGCGCTCCGCGGTCCCACTAGCTGCTTCTTGAGGTGGCTCCATGGAGAGCACAAGGCCACGTTCCTCCCTCAGGTGCTCTCCATGGACTTAAAGCCTCTGCTTCATCCGCACAGTGAATGGGCTCCTGCCTCTCCCTCCCACCAGACTGCAAACCCCACGCGGCTCGCGGCTCTCAGGAGGATGTGCACGCTTCACAGCAGGTGCTCGGGTCACCTGGTCGGAAAGGTGGCACCAGCATGACCTCCTAGCGACAGTGAATGTGAATATTGAAAACTTTCAGAAAGTTTTTACAACTGTCTATTCCAGAATTCTCCACACTGCCTCCTACTTCTGAGGAGGAGCAAGAGCCTGAGTAGAAGCTAAACCACGAGCCAGGGACCTCGCGCCTCGCCAGCTCCGCCCTCTCGCGCTCCCAGCCCCGCCCCCTCGCGCTCCCAGCCCCGCCCCCTCGCGCCTCGCCAGCCCCGCCCCCGCGCCTCGCCAGCCCCGCCCCCGCGCCTCGCCAGCTCCGCCCCCTCGCGCCTCGCCAGCTCCGCCCCCGCGCCTCGCCGCGCCCCCTACCCTAAGCCCCGCCCCTATACTTTACGTAAGCCCCCTAGGCCCCGCCCCGGCTCCGCCTCCAAGCCCCGCCTCTCCCTGTCCCAGCCCCAGTGCGGCTCTGCGCATGCCCGTCCGGCTGAGCCCCCTTCCTGGAGTCTCCCAGGCCGGGGGAAAAAACTTTCTGCTGGATGATGTCGCGACCTTGTCCTCCTCAGAAGCCACTCAGGTAAAGCTGCCCAGGCCTCTTGCACCCCGAGCCGGCCTGGCCCGGTCATGATCGCGGGCGGCGGGCCGCCGGGGCTGACTGCTCAGCGCTGGGTGCCCGGCCAGCGCGCCTTGGCCGGAGACGGAACCGGGCTTGGGCCGTCGTGGGCTCACACCCACGATCAGGGTTCACTCTCCCTCCCACCGCCCCGGCGTCTGCACCACTGGACCCCCGGTAACCAAGAGCCCGCGTCCAGCTGCCCCGGGTCCAGGGACAGGCTGTTAGTTCCACTTGTGACCTGACCTTGGCCCCCTGTTAGGTAACATCCCCGGCCCGCACTTGGTCTTGTCCCCTCGTGGGATTCTTGTGAGGATCAAAAGAGGAGTGTGGGATGAGCCCTTGCAGAAGGGGTGGCTCCTACTGTTGGTATTTACTCCTAGGACCAGTTCCTGATACTAGGCAGAAGCCTTTTTTTTTTGCAGCCTTTGGCTTCTGCTGGTCCCTTGGGCCACTCAGTGGGGATTGCTCCATGCAGACTGGCTTTCTGATCCAAGGCCTGCGTGGATAGGATACATGCACCCTGAGGTCCCCTCCAGTGCTGGCATTCTGTGATTCTTTTTATTGTTCGATCGTTTTGAAACTCACTATGTAACCCAGCCAGTTTTTAATTTGCACCTGCTATGTGGAAAGAGGCAAAAAACAGCAAACACCTCTTGCCAAAAACCAGTCACCTAATCTTGGGGACATTTATGACAATAGTTATCATTGATTGGGACCTGGCCAAGAGCCAGCCATAGTGTATGAATCCTCACAAATATCCTCAAGCATGTCACAGATAAGGAGAGGGGCACAGATAGGGCACTCCTAACGCTGGAAACCGGTTTTGGCTGACTTCAATATCTGATTTTGCCCACTATGCAAACTTCATTTTTAGAGCTACTATAACTAAGTAACACAAAATGGGTGACTTAAAGCAGCAGAAATGCAGTCTTTCATAGTCTGTAGCCAGACATCTGAAATCAAGGCTAGAGGAGGGCCAAGCTCCCTCCACAGCTGGAGGCAGCAGCATTTCTGGCCTGTGGCAACTCGGGGTGCTCCTAGGCTTGTGACTGCATCACTCCAGTCCCTGCCTGTGTCTTCACATAGCTTCTTCCACGTGTGTATCTCTGTGTCCTCTCCCCTCGTAAGGACAACAGTCACTGCATTTAGGGTCCACCTCAAATCCAATATGAGTTCATCTCAAGATCCTGAATTACATTTGCAAAGATCCTGTTTCAAATAAAGTCAAGTTTTGAACTCATGGGCTGATGTAGGTTTTGGAAGGACACTAATCTACCACACAAACCAGCAACATAATACGAATTCAGAGTCATGGATTCAGGGTAACATTTGTGGTTATAAATGCAATACTTGCATATTATCAGGTGATCATCCTTAAAGTGATAGAGATGCTAATTCTCAGGGGAGGCCTCAACTCAAACTTAGGGAGTCACAATTTAGGGTAGGCCCAGCAATCTGTGTTGTCACCAACCCTCCCTGTGATTTCACTGCTGGTAATGTTTGAGAGCCACTGTTACGAGGCAGCTGAAGACAGAAGAGTTTGATAGAATGCCCTAAAAGCCAGGTGAAGAGCAAGTCCTTAGCTTTCTAGTGACCTAACCTTAGGACAACTTGTTCCGGTCAAGGTTAAAGGTCAGTGAAGGGCCCCCCTGGTGGCTGAGTGCTGGGTTGCAAAGCTGCCCGCAGCCTCTGCAGTGCCAGTTCAATCCCCGGCTGCTCCCTGGCCACCAGAGGAGGGTCCCACATGGCGCGCAGACCTCTCCTGCCGCCCGCTGCTCCCCTCAGCAGTGTACTTCGGTCCTTCTGCCTGCTCTGCTCCCCGCTCTGGCGCTGGTGAATTCTCTCACCCTCCCGCGCTTCTGACTGTACCCAATGCTTGTATAAATAAATAAATAAACAAACAAACAAATAAATAAATAAATAAAAAGGTCAGTGAAGCTGTCATACTTGATTATGTTATGGATTTCAACACTTAACTATTGCATTGTTGAAGGAGTGTTTTGCCTTTAATTTAGGTTTCAGAGTGAATTCATGTACCCAACTTAAGAACTTCTTGCCTCATTTTTTCCTGCCAACAATCATGCATTTGGGGTAATATTCTTCCTGCATTTGTATTGAAAAGTGCACTGAGAGTCAGAAATGGTAAGCCACAAAATATGCAGCAAAGCATAAACACAGGCAGGACTAGAAGTTGTTTTTTTTTTTTTTTTTAATAAGTCTCGTGACTAAAATATTTACCTGATTTTTTCCCTTCTAGAAATGATTTGATAGATGATGCTAAAGCCCGCCTACGAAAGCATGACCTGGGGGCCAAATATTCTAACTTTCTTCCTAACAACTACGCCATCCTTATACCACTGGTGGCTAAAGATGGGACGCTGCATCTCTTGTTCACCCTGCGGTCAGAGAAGGTGGGTGACAGAGGTCCTGCCATTGAAACTCAAGATATTTGAAAAACCCACGATATTTTGTTACTTTCATACATTTTGAGGCCACAGGTTCTGAAATGGATTTTAAATATTTTGATGGGCAAGAGGGGGTACAAGAAGCCACAGCATAATGTGGCATTTTGGGGAGAAGTTTGAAAGGGAAAATGAGTAACTTAGCTGGCCAGTAATAGAAGGTACTTTTAGGTTTCTTAACTTCGGTGCTATTGGCATTTGGGCTGGAGAATTCTTGGCTGTGAGATGTTTAGCATCATGTCTGTTCTGCTCTACCCACTCAAAGCCACTAGCGCAGGCACGCACACATAGACACCTTCAGAACCTGCAGGTGCCCTCTGCTTTCCAGTTCTCAGGAGCCCACAGCATAGTCACCTTTATCCCTGCTTTAGTCTCACCTTTATTTTTTTTAAAAGAGTTATTTATTTGTTTGTTTGTTTGTTTGTTTAATACAAGCACTGGGTACAGTCAGAAGCGCGGGAGGGTGAGAGAATTCACCAGAGCCAGAGCGGAGAGCAGAGCAGGCAGAAGGACCGAAGTACACTGCTGAGGGGAGCAGCGGGCGGCAGGAGAGGTCTGCGCGCCATGTGGGACCCTCCTCTGGTGGCCAGGGAGCAGCCGGGGATCGAACCAGCGCCGCAGAGGCTGCGGGCAGCTTTGCGACCCAGTGCTCAACCGCTGCGCCCCCGGGGAGGCCCTAGTCCCACCTTTATTCCCTCTTTCCTCTCACACCTTCCTCCCCTGCCTTCACATCTCCTCATTCCCCCTCCTTATCTCTTCTCTCTCCAACTCTACCATCTCCCCCTCCTTTTTATGCTTCCTTCTCAGCTGCATCTCTTCTCTCTCCCCTCTACCCTTTCTGCTCCCAACTCTCTAGGACTTAAAAAAGACAAGAGGAATTTCAAGAGCAAAACATAGATTGAAGTCTTAGGAAATTAAGCTGCAACCCTATCTGGCTTCTGAGTAGCATTCCACAGGCTTTATTTAATAAAAATTTTATGCTATTTACAAAAAGGAAAATGCCCATAATAAGTATCCTTTTCAATGCTCGCAGGTGTAAATAATTCTTTACATATATATATATATATATATATATATCTATTTTCTTCAGAACGGTATAAAATTTTCTTAAAAGTGGGAATTCTCATTCATCAGAAATGGTTTTTACTTCCTGTGAATTGGAATAAGTGTATAAGGCAACTTGAATTTGACACGCTCTAGGGTCCTTTTTTCCCCTCCCACCACCATCACTTATGTCCTCATTGACCCCATTCTCCCACTCCTAACCTCAGAAACCTCACTTCATTTATTAACAACCATGAGCTTTCGTTTTTCACTTTGTCAAGTTGTCCATTATGTGAATGTCAATATCTGTCTTTGTCATTCTGACTTGCTTTACTACACACCATTCCCTCTCGCTGCTTCCATTTTGTTGTAAGTGGCAACATTTTCTCCCTCCTTATGGCTGGACAGTATTTCATGGTGTGAATAGGCCACATCTTCTTGATCCAGCCTTCCATCCGTGAGCAATATGGAACAAAACAAAACATAGACTGAAGTCTTAGGAAATTAAGCTGCAACCTTCTCTGCCTTCTGAGTAGAATTCCATAGGTTTTACTTAATAAAAATTTTATGCTATTTACAAAAAAAGAAAGATGTACATAACAAGTATCTTATGGAAAAGAACTTTCACGGTCCATTGAAAATAGCCATTAAATCAGCTATGACCGGGCCTCCCTGGTGGTGCAGGCAGTTGAGCGCCGTGCTGTGAAGCTGTCTGCAGCCTCTGAAGCACTGATTCAATCCCAGCTGGCCAGCGAGGGTCCCACATGGTGCTGCAGACCTCTCCTGTCTCGCCCGCTACTCCCCTCAGCAGTGTATTTCGTCAGTCTGCCTGTTCTGTTCCCTGCTCTGTCTCTGGTGAATCCTCTCATCCTTACCCACATCTGGCCTGTACCCAGGTTCTTGTATAAAATAAATAAATAAATCTTTTAAAAAAAAAATCAGCTATGACCATCACCAGTAGGTGCCTTTATTCACTGATGCCTAGATGCTGAATGCATCAGATAGGCTTGCTTTTCTAGAGGTGATGTGACACCTGGTCCATTATAAATGGGTGGTGAATGTTCAACACAGTAGAAACATGTCCATCCACTTTGTTCCCACCTGCTCTCAGAACTACAATTCAGGATAAGATGTGCCAGGTTTCTTCCCCATCAAGACCTAGGTGCATGTATATGGTGTCTTTAGGGGGCCAGTAGAGAAAAGTTTGAAATGATAGAAGTTCTTGGCATTCATCTTTTTATTTTATTTTTTTTAAAGATTTATTTATTTATTTATTTATTTATTTATACAAGCACTGGGTACAGTCAGAAGCGCGGGAGAGTGAGAGAATTCACCAGAGACAGAGCAGAGAGCAGAACAGGCAGACTGACAAAGTACACTCCTGAGGGTAGTAGTGGGCGGCAGGAGAGGTCTGCGCGCCATGTGGGACCCTCACTCAGTGGCCGGGGATCGAACCGGTGCTGCAGAGGCTGCGGTCAGCTTCACAACCCAGAACTCAACCGCTGTGCCACCGGGGAGACCCGGCATTCATCTTTTTAAAGGATTCAAGTAAAAACTTTTTAGGGGGGGTGAGATCTTGTTCCTCACTTCTTACCCACTAGCACAAAATGTTAGCTCTAGGTACTGGTTGAGTGAGTGAAGGGATCCAAAATTGGAAACACCCACTGCAGCTCTGTTCTTTTCACATCCAGCTAAGAAGGTCACCCGGAGAAGTTTGCTTCCCTGGAGGCAAGCACGAACCTACAGACGCGGATGATGTGGCCACGGCCCTCCGGGAAGCCCAGGAGGAGGTGGGGCTGTGTCCTCAGCAAGTGAAGGTCGCATGCCGCTTGGTGCCATATATGCTTGACGTAAGGGTTGGAATGGAACTGGGTTTCTTAGACTTCCAAGACCTTGCAGTGGATCTGGCATCTTTTTTTTTTTTTAAGATTCATTATTTAGAACTGGGGTACAGGCCAGAGGTGTGGGGTGAGAGGATTCACTAGAGGTGGGGAGGGGAGCGGAGAACAGGGGGATTGACTGAAATACACTGCTTAGGGGAGCAGTGCGCAAGTCAGGAATGATCTGCTGCACCATATGGGTAGCTCCCTGGAGCAGGGGGTCAAACTCATGCTGCAGTGGCTATGGGTAGCTTCACAGTTCTGCATGTTACCCCCTTGCACCACCAGGGAGGCCCCAAGGATCTGGCATCTTTAGGGTTCCGCATTTGGCCAAACAAGGGCCTTGAGAGTGCTGGGCACAGGGTGAAGATGCTGGGTTTTGGGGTGGGCTTTGCCCCTCATGCACTAAGTGGCCTTGGACAAGCCCCTTTTCCTGTCTGGACCCCTCCTTCTCTATCCAGAAATGGAAGCTCCCTCTGTGGTTTTCAAACTGGGCTCTGTAGAAGACTGTCGGTGCTTCAGAATCATTTTAACAGTTCACTTTGTTCACTTTTGTTTTTCTCTAGGGTGCATTTATTTTAAGAACTCAGTGGACATGCTACATCTACCAGTTTCATCCCCTGGAGGCTCCTTTGCCCTAAACATAGTCATTTTTTATATTTACTGTAGAATCAAATATCTCCTTATTCCACTAGTTGAGCAATACCCTAAGATCTGCTCGGCAAGCTATTTAAAAACTATTGCTACTTGCAACTGCATTTCTGTGTGGATCAAGATTTCCTTGGTAGTGTGTACACACACACACACACACACACACACACACACACACACACTGCAAAAGCCAAAACAAATTCTAGGACTGAAGCAACCAGATGTTATGACCTGTGCATTTACTACAACTATCTCACCGTTAAGCTAATTGACTCTAGAAGGAGTAACTGTTATAAATTTGAACTTGGATATCAGCCAAGTTAAATTTATGGATTTGAATTTTTAAATATAAAATCTAATTTTAGAGTAGTTACAGGTCTACAGAAAAGTGGCCAAGATAGTCGAGAGTGTGGTCAAATCTCCTTACTCCCATCTCCCCTGTAGTTAAAGCGTCTTGCATCATTGCCTGTGGCTCATCTCTCACAACGAAGAAGCCAATGTCACTGCATTCATATGAACTAAACCACCCTTTGCCTTTTACTCAGATTTTTTACTAATGTCCTCCTTTCTGCAACTGGAGCACATCCGGGGCACCATGTTTTATTTAGGTTTCAGGACTCCCTAGTCTTGTGAGCTGTGACAGTGTCTCAGATCTTCCTTCTTCTCACAACCATGACCATTCTGAGGTACACTGCCCTCAATTTGGTTTGATCTGATATTTTTCTCATGATGAAGCTAGGGATTGTGGGCTAGCTGGTGGGACCATTGCTTCTGCCTCCAGACAGTTTATGATTCTAGATTTCCCACCCACAGCAAGTCTAAAGTCTGCCCCCATCAGTCATCCCCAGTCCAAATGTCGGCTTTCACCTATACCTCCAGTCTCAGAATTCTCCCTCCTCAGAATTTTCCACAAGTCTGTTTGTCCTCCTGCAGTGCCCAGCCTCACTTTGTATCCCCGGCTAGTCCCACCTCACTTTGTATGCCCAGCTAGTCCCACCCACCTTGTCTTGGGGTGCCCAAGAGAACTCGAGACCTCACTTGCTCATTCAAAATCTTGCAGCTCTTATCAGCTCCTACATCTACATTAAATCCAGGGCCTCCTTCTCAAGATTCCTTGTAGAGTCTTTCACTTAACAGCACCCATATTCATGTGCAAGCAGCTATGATTGCAAACAAAACCCACCACCACAAATCATGTAAACTATATATGCTATAGAAAGTAGTCATATTACATATATAATGTTCCCATAAATGGGACTAGGCCACAAATACTTTTCCATTGTTAAGGCACCGCATCCTTGTCCGTGCTGACAAGGCAAGGTATCTATCATGTTCTTTGTAAGTACCGCATAGTACACACACACACAGGGGTGTGTGTGTGTTTGTGTGTGTGGACTCATAATAAATGTACCTTAATGTTCATCAACTGAGGGCCATTATCTACCTTACATTATTACATTATCTGTCATTATCAGACCTACATCTTTTCTCAATGGTAGGAATTTAGGATACAGATATACACAAATTTCTAGGTCAAAGGAATCCTAGATTTTTTTATATAATATTGCCAAATTGCCACTCCAAAAGACTGCACCAGTTTGTATCCACAGATCACGTTTTCAGAGTTACCTCACACATGTTTTTGCTCAGGAAAGGAAAGCAAACTCCCTCAAGTTAGGGGAAACATAAAGACTTCTGCAGCAAGTGCTGGCTCCGTCCCGGCCCACCTTATATAACTGAGTGCTTTGGCCTGTTTTTTTAGGCTTACACAGAGGTAGCATTCGGAACAGTAATTGTGTATTTTGCTTTCTGCTTCTAGAAAAAGACAATAGTAATCCCAGTTGTCGGGTTCATAGACCACAACTTCCAGGCCCAGCCTAACCCCGATGAAGTGAAGACAGTGTTCCTGGTACCCCTGGAATATTTTCTGCACCCACATGTCTACCAACAGTATCAGCTGACAAAGGGTGGTCTTCAGTTTCTGTTTCATTCCTTTGAGTACACAAACCCGGAAGATGGGGTGACTTACCATATCAAAGGGATGACAGCAAGGTTAGCAGTGCTGGTGGCCTTTATAACTTTAGGGGGAAAACCTGCATTTGAGGTTGACTTTAATCTCAGTGATCCAGTGTCATCTGCTGAAGAGTCTTTCCTCAAGACTCATAAACATTTTACAAGCAACTTATGATGAAACCAACAGCCAAATAACAATCTAACAGGGTTTTGTGTATGGTCATCCACCAAATAACATTCATGAAAACTGCTGGAATTTGACAGGTGCAAATAATTTTCCTGCAATAGCAAGGAAAAACTTGACCTTTTTTCTGGTTGTCCTCTATTATCTGAAAGAGCTAAAGTCTCTTGAAAGTGGAACACTGTGTTTATAGTGTCGCATAATTTCACCCACAAAATGTTAACAGTATTTTTCTCACACATATGAAAAAAAGTCTGTGGCTCATAGTTGGCCATTAATAAATACCTGTTGACTAGATGACCATGTGATGTATTTATCTTATTTGATAATTGACATAGGAGGTAATATCTCTTTCTGTCTGTTGCTATATGGAACGGAAACTCCCCACCTGCCATCAAAATCTGTTCTTCTATCGGGGTAGAGTTGAAGTTGAATCCATAGTTCTCCAAGGTGAAATAGCATTCCCCAGGACCCCCTGCAGTTAAATGGGGCTCTGGAACACAGTTTAGGCCAATGGGGCATGAATGACCTTGCAGTGACCTTGACCTTGCAGACCATTTCTAATTGAATAAGTCAGCTTCCCTGAATTCTCTTTCCCCTTTCCAATGTGGATTTATCTACAGCCCAGCCTTGACCATACAGAGAAGAACAACTTCCAGAGAATAGCAGAAATTTTTTCTCCAAAAAACTCTGGAGCAAAGCAACCTGCCACTTCTGACTATTCGCTTGGCACTGTAATGTAAGAGAAGTCCTTTTTCTAGTACTGTTATTTGGGGTAACTGTTAGAGTAGAATTGTGCTAAAAGAAAATACTAGAACTCTTGAAAACAGCTGGAAAGATATTTACCCACACTTGAGGTATTGCCTGCAATGAGAATTCAGGATGAGCTACACTCAGCATATGGACTCTGTGATGAGCACGGATGCCCTGGTTGTTGATGCCGTGGCGTTTGGAGCCATCATCCAGAGCAGTCGAAACAAAGGGATACGAGAGGCCCACCTGACTGCCAGTCAGAGGAGAGAGAACGTCAAGATGATGAAAACAGAAAAGCACTGACTTTAAGGACCAGCCCCAAATCAAAAGTCAGAAACACATGCATGCCTTGAGATCAGCCACTTCTTGCCGGACATCCCCATAAATCATGCTTTCCAGTTGGCAGGGACTTCTTTGTTTTATTGTGGTATTAAACACCCCTGCACGAGGTCACAGAGGCAGGTGGGTAAGGCCACGTCATGGTGTGATGGCAATTTCCCATCCTGCTGAGTGTGAGATTTTCAGAAAGCCACTCCATTTTTAAGTCTTTGTTTTAATTAATCACGTGGCACCCACACTAAACCCGTCAACCAGCCCTGCCACTGTCCACTGCTGATTTTTCTTTTTGAGAGTTGGCAGAGAGTTGGCAGAGGAAAATATCTGATGTGCTGCCTTAGACCCATAAATATTGAGCTGGCTCCAACCCTGAAAGCAGATGTTGGGTAAGCTTCCCCATTAGTATTCTCTAACAAACCCTGCACGAACAGACCTAAACTGTTTCCAAATAATTACGGAGGCATTTGCAAATGTGTATTTACAGTCTGACAGCAGTGTAATTACCGGGTAGACTGCTGACCTCCCTGGCAGTGCAAAAAGCCACCTTTCCTAACTCCATTTACGGGGATCCCTAGCTCTGCTGTTACTCAGAGGAGGTAGGTCTACACAAGTCCAATCTTAATGACGCGGTGGCCACGCAGTTTAAGGGGTTGAATATTGAGCCATGAAGGCAATGTCTTCTATTGTAGGATATTTATATACATGGTTCTAGTTAAATATCCTTCAGTTAAAAACAGAAGTCTAGCAAATTTGACTCAAATAAAAGAAGTCTGACAAGGTGCAGATCTTGGGGAATCTACAAAACCATGCACCTGCCTCAAGATGCACAGGAAGAAGGGGCACCCCAGCAGCCAGATCTAAGCAAGAGGTGGTGAGCCTGCACTTTTGCATCATTTTCCAATATCTGACAATAGCCACCTTTTTGAGTATATGGATGCAGAGATAGAAAAGCTACAGAAATGCTGTTTCCTGGTCCCCAGTACTTTGTAGAAAGTTCCATTTGGCCTGCTTGGGTCAGCTGGCAGATTTTGTTCAAAGGTAAGGAGGGTGAGGGTTGACTACAAAGGCACACATCTTCCTAAGTCCCCTGACTCAGCAGGTTAGGGTTAGGAGGAGAACATTTCTCAAGAAAGTGCATGAAGTGGATATCCCCAATTATTTACTCTCTCCAGTCCCTGAAATATGTAACTCTAGATTCCACCAAACATCCTTTGTATCCACAAAACCCCGGTGAGCTAGTGATTAAGAGTCCCGAGTCTAGAGAAAGGATGCCAGATGTAAATCCCAGTTTTGAGCCATTCGGTTACCTGAAGGAAGTTACTTATGATCTGCAGGCTTGTTTCCTCTTCTGTAACAGGGTGGGGAATGAACTTTTGTCTAAGAGCTGTTCTGGGGCCTCCCTGGTGGTACAGGGGTTTTAATCCCCGGCCAAGGAGCTACCCACCTCGCGCAGCAGACCTCTCCTGTCTTGCCTGCTGTTCCCCTCAGCAATGTATTTCAGTAAATGCGCCTGTTCTGCTCCCCGCTCTGTCTCTGGTGAATCCTCTCACTGCCCTCCCACCCCCGCCACCTCTGGCCTACATGCCAGTTGTATGAATAAATCTTTTTTTTTTTTAAAGATATATTTATTTATACAAGAACCAGGGTACAGGCTAGATGTGCGGGAGGGTGAAAGGATTCAGCAGAGACAGAGCGGGGAACAGAACAGGCAGACTGATGAAATACACTGCTGAGGGGAGCAGCAGGCGAGACAGGAGAGGTCTGCTACGCCATGTGGGTTTCTCCCCAGCCGGTGGGGATCGAACTCGCACTGCAGAGGCTCCGGACAACTTCACAGCGCGGCCCTCAAGCGCCTGCACCACTAGGGAGGCCCGCATAAATAAATCTTTTTTAAAAATGGGGATGAAAGTCAATACCGGTGACTCCTCTACTTAAATAAAGCACCTACATGCTCAGGACAATGTCTGGGATATGGAAAGGCTCGATAACCTGTTAGCTAGTCATTATGGTGTATTTTAACTAGGACATTATTACGATAAAATAAGTCTGGTGGTTTCTCTAGTTCAGGATATCGTCATTTTCCTGTATCCATATGTGGAGTCCCTAATTTATAGGTTCTTGAACACTCTCCATTCACAGCAGGCATGCTTGGCATCTCAGTAATGTATACATCTACACAAGAAACACCCAACAAATTTGCGTGTTGTGTTGTTATATACAAACACTTCCTAAGTGTTTATGTCCTGCTACCTTGGTAACCGTTTAAAAATATACTATACTGATACGATTTTTATAAGAGTAAATAAACACAATCCCTCACTAAGGGAAGGCAGCACCCATTGAGCACGCAAGTAAATGCAAGTTTCAAATACAGTTATGTGATAGGAATAAATCCAGAGACAATGAGAGGAGGAACTCCTGATTTAGATTTGGGGTTCAGGGAAGCACCCAGAGGTGGTGGTGACTGAGCTGAGCCCTTATGGATAAGAAGATGCTGGCTCAGGTAAGTAGGACATGGTGCTGATGCTGGGAACTGACAGTTATTAAGCACCTATGATAGCCCAGGTCTTTCACTTGGATTAATTCATTTAACCTTCACTCCAATTCTCCATAGTGAGTACTACTATTACTTCTATTTTGGGGCAGGAAAATTTGAGGATCAAAGAACTTAAATATTGGCCCATGGTCACATAGTTCACAAATGGCAAAGTCAACATCCAAACCCACATGTCTGGATCTCAAAGCCCATATGTTTTCTGCTCTATCCCAGATGAGACTCATTTCAAAGCAGAAATAGATAGTCAAATCTATGTCTATTGTGAAACATCATGTGTGAAAGAGAAAGCGGAACAAATGTAATAAATTGAAGAGAGAAAAGAGTTTATTTTTGCTTTCATCATGTCCTCCAGATTATTCCACTGGTGTTATACACAGTGAAATGAGTAATTAGTTAGGAGGATCTTAATTAGAATGGAACATACCAATTAATAAATGAAAGTACTGGCACACTTGCTAATTTAAAAACACCCTTTGTGGTGGCAGCTTTCCAGTTAAAGAACTGAGATGGGCAAGCTTGCCTCTCCCCCTTAGACAAGACGATTAAATATAATCCATCTTTTTCTTGTTTCCAGTTGGTTTCTTATCTGAAAGTATGAGCACAGGTTTTGATAAAACTGATGGAGTGATTGCCGCCTGGCCTGATTGTCCTAGATGTGGCCCGGTGGGGTCTTTTTTTTTTTTTTTTTTCTAAAAAAAAATTATTTATTTATGCATGCAAGAATTGGGGTGTAGACCAGAGGTGCAGAGGGTGAGAGTCTTCAAGGTGTGTCTATATGTGTATTCCATTTGAATTCTTGATCACCCCCCTCATCACCCCTTAGTTCCCTCCCTGTGCCTTACTTGTTATTAAGCACTATTCAGGCTTCAGGAGTGAATTCTTCTGTACATACTTCCCCCAGCACCCCGGCCTTATTTCATGAGTGCTGCTTCATTGCACACCATCGCACGTCTGTTTAAAACATACATCTTTGTGCTTAGTCCAGCCATGACCTCAGAAGGGACAGATCTGCCTACCATGAAAGCCCCCCAGTCTGACTTCCCCTGGTCTCAGGCAGTGGACCTAAAAGCAGTGGTTGACCCAAAGGTAGGCCTATTTTGACGGCCAGTAACCTAGGACATGTGTAGTCTATTTAAATAACTATGGTTTAATTAATTCTATTTAAATAGTTAGATTTTCCAGAGTGTGAACTACGCCAGAAGGTAATGTATGTTCAGGAACTTTTGGGTTCGATGTCCATACTGAGGGCAACCCAAGAAGCAGAATTTAAAGTGTAGTTGGCTAATAATTGATGGGAATGTGTCTTTGATCTAGGTAATAGTTGTCATGTCAGAAATTCCACCAGATATAACTGGAAGAAAAAGCAATAGTTCCTGAAGCAACTTCAAGATCCATTTTTAAGGTCTCATACTCAAAGTCCATAAATTTTTATTTCATAGTCTAGCCTTGCTTTGACATTTCTGTAACTCTAACTTCCCTCGTTTTTCATTTTATTTCTTCAAGCTTTTATTCCTTACTTTATCATCATTGTCAATGACATTTTTGTTTCTATTTTTTTCCCTTTTTCACTTATTTCCCATGTGAAACAGAATGTTTTCCTCTGGTTATATTATTCTACCTACTTAATTCACTTGTGTCTCTTTATTCATTT